CATGAACCGTGAATAAATGGAAATGACACAGATCGACAAGTAAAATCTGTTTATTACTGTTAGAACACAACAGACATGAAACAGCGATGTGAACATGTGCAAAATGTTCGACACAAAGTCTAGTTACTCAGTCTTACAATAAACAGTCATCTGGCATATATTAAATTAGAAACATTTTGGTTTTACTATCCTTAGTACTCAATGTTAAACTGGTATGAACTGTACATGCAACCAGGCTTTTATCTTGAGAGTTATACATTAGGTGACAAAGATTGCAAAGAGATGCATGTAGGTACTATAGAGGTGGTTTTGCATGTTATTTTCTAAAACATGATTAGTTTTGACCTGAAATTAGACTATTGTTTTTGCTACTACCAAAGCATCAGAGGACATGCAGTTATTCAGTGAACCAATGTCAAAGCATTTTAAAATGGATTTGGCCTTTGCTTGTCTCACTTGTGCACTTGTCCAGCTGAGATACTGCGATGAACCAGAGATACCCTTTTAAAAAGTACTTTTCAAAACATATTTTGTAAGCAAATAAAGTTTCAATCCAATAGACCCTTTTCACATGACGTCAAACAGTGTCCACCTCCCCTCCCACTGGCGTATCCCCCCTCTTCCTCTGGTCAGTGGAATCATGGAGCTCACCAAGTCTAGAGCAGCTGCCACTGATATAATGATGATAAACTTATTGTTTAAATGTTTTGACCGACATCTTGGCCCAAACTTGACAAAGCCTGTAATTTTTAAAGTAAATATTACAGATCGATTTTGTAGCTAAGGTATCGTTTTCTTAACTTTCTAGTTTAGGCTATAGTGCTAACACTCGGTTTGCTCTAATGGGATACACAGTGTAGCAAAGAAGATGCTAGCGTTCTTTCCTGTTAACATATTTTATAGATTATAGTAGAGTAAATAATGTAAGTTAATGTGTTTGTAAGATAAACGTGAAGAATGAAGATGATTTAAGCCTGCGAGCAGCAAACTGATGACATTCTTGTGGTTATGCCTACGGACCTAGCTGGATTGTTTCAGGAGAAGATGATCATATCATCAAGTCCCCCCCCACCCCCTCACAGTATACTGTTTATTTTAAAGGGCTGCTTGGGTTTTAACACATATTGCTGTAGGTTACAGGCTAATATTTTGAACAGACATGACCTCTCCCCAGCTTCTGTGCCCAGTAGTTGTTAACACTTGCTAGCAAGGACAGAGCTCCAATGATGTGAGGGGGTAACAAAAAATAAAGCTAGTATTATGGTGATCAAACTTGATTTTAAATGTCGTAAATGTGTATAGATTATTCTAGTGAGAGTTGACACTGCCCTTTTATACAACTTTATGGAGATGTTGGTGGACTGGATTGTCACAAGAAATAAATATATGACAGTAGTGTGTTTTTGTGAGATTGCAGTGCACAGACCATACATAGAAAACTAATTCCAAATTTGGGTTAACACAGGTGTCATCTGAACATTACAAAATGCTAATTGCCTGTTGTTGCTGTATGCAGTGGCATTAGCTTGCACACGGCCTTCAAAAAACACACAGAGATTGCATGTATGCCAGTCCTCTTGTCAGAGGTTAAGCTTAATATATGATCAGTGTGTCAAACTGTCAGATAATCAGTGTAGTCCTCATCTGTCCCTGTGTTTGCAGCTTTGGCTTAATGAGATGGATGTTAACCACAGGGATATCCTTCAGAATGCCAGTAAGACTCCACATTTCTTCAAGTAGGTTTTTAATTGATCCCAGCCCTCTCAGCAGGTTTGTTCACAAAGGAATGTTGCTATTAATAACTGAGTAGATGGGAAATTGCAATCCATCCGTCTGACTTAATGATTGTTGCTAGACAGTCATTCTGGAGGTTCAGTTCTGCTCAAAAGCAGGAAAAAAAGCTTGATTGTGTTGTCACATCCTCTGTTGACAGACTGTAGCTGCTCCATCTTGGTAACAGCTTTTTAAAGATGGCTCTCCAGGTAATGAACTGCATGACAAGTGGCCTGCTAACACTGTCTGGTGTCTCATGAGAAATTAATGTGGCTTGTGAGATGAGAAGAGCTGATTTAAGGTGCTGTGTGATGTCGGTGAGATGACATTAAATCCTTCGGTCAAATTGGTGTTAACGTGTGAGCTGGGCTAGCTTAGAAAATGGCATCAAAAAATATCACAGAGGAACAATACTGGTCTTAAAGTTTCTCTGAACCAAGAATAGAATGATACATTCATTGTTGTCAGCATGGACAATAGTGTCACTACTCCGAGCTTCATATAAAGGCCTTAAATTGTCTTAAATACTGTTATGCAAAGTGCTGTTGGTCTTCAACTTATAGAGGCCTTAATGCTTTATTCTGCACTGGCTTTCTCTTGTTTACAGTGAGCCCAGTTACATATAGCAGATTTACAGTATATTCTGAGGTGTACTGTGTTACCTGTACTTTGGCACAGCATGGAATTAGATGTGTTTGTGTTCACAGTGAAAAAAAATAAAACCGTTCTTCCCACAGTCAGCCAGTGCCATGCCCAGTCTTAAAAAGTGTTAAGGTAATTTTCTTCCTCTAAATTACTGAGAAGAAAATCTCATAAACAGAAACATGTTCACGTGTTTCCACACAGCTTCTCCTGGGAGGCTTGGATTTATACCAGCGAGTAAGAACAGAAACAGTTCAGCTACAAACATGTTGAATGTAATGTAGCAAAAAATCATTTCTGCAAAGATTTCTGGACTAGAACATTGTAATAAACGTCTTTGTATGGGTCTGTGACTGTCAGGATCTCAACTGATCCAGTTCAGTTGAGATCAGTTTTGCCTTTAACAAAATTACTTTTTATCATGGACACCTTCCTTTCTTCCATGGCCAGTTTTTTCCAGTGCCTGACACACAAACACCTTTTGTCACTGAAGGTATCATTCATTAGCAGTTGTGGAACTAATGTGCTAGCCATCTGCTAACCTCCCACCCTTGGAGCCAATAATTTGATTATTCATATGGAGAGCAGCACTGACTGCAGTCAGGCCGAGTGCTGCTCGCTGTGAACAGATGTTGAAATGTGAACTAGCAGCCCCCGGCCTTGAACTCTTTCCTGCTTCAAGCAGTGGCGTGTCGTCCTCTGCCATTCAGACAAGCAGTGATATCCGCCGACAGGCTGTACCAGCACCGCTCTGGCCTGATGAGATCTGGAAATAAGAGGCAGCAGAATCCCAGATGGAGAATTCAGTTCAATCACTAGATACACAAACAGGCAGGCAGGCAGCACTGTTTTCCACTGGCTGGAAGAGGTGCATGCGCTTCTTTACCATATCATATTGATCTTAACTTTGCCCACACTGCCAATGCATCTAGAACTCAGTTTGACTTCAGCTCTGTCACTAATGACACAATCATCTGTGGGAGGATAGATGAAAGGTGGCAACATTAGGCAACAGGCATGTGGTGCAACAATTATTTATTGTAGTACAACACTGAATATATCACTACTTGATCATTATTATGCCTCTGTGCTGGCAATAGCCACGGCCGGAGGAATTATGTCTTCGGGTTGTCCGCCTGTCCAATTCTTGTGAACATGATATGTCAGGAACACCTCTCGGGAATTCCTTCAAATTTGGTAAAAGTGTCCACTTGGACTCAAGGATGAATTGATTAAATTTTGGTGGTCAAAGGTCTAGGTCAGTGAGCTCACTTCTGTCCCATACCTGTGAATTTGACTGGGTGGTGGAGGCATAGAACCGTGAGGTCATAATTCTAGTTATAACTGGAATGTAAAGTGAGAAGCTGGTAATTATGATTAAGTCCATTATGACATGAGCACTTCATACTGCCACTTGATGTGTCAGAGCTCTGGGAAATGTTTTATTTTTTCAACCTTTATTTAACCTGTCATACAGTATGTGACTTGTGAACTAAGATTATGGGCACATGAGTATGCTAAGATGCTCTCTTGTTGCTGGAAATCAGTAAATGCTTGATTTCCATGCACTACACTGACAAGAAATGACAGACTTGAACAGCAGCCTTGCACATCACAGCACCAGTAACAGTAGCCCATACACAGCACAATGCCATTTTTGTCTGCCTCTGCAATATTGGTCAGTGGGTGAGTTGATGGAGCGGGTGAAGAAAAAGCACTAAGTAAAATACTGGGGAATTACAAATGGGGTTTGAATTCCAATAAACAAACACCAGTTTCACACAGCCGGGAACTGAAGTGTGAAAGGAATGATTAGTTAAAGGGGGAAATTGCTTGGTCATAGTGTAACTGTAGAGAGACAGTATTTTCTCCAGTGTGTGTTAAAGCAGCACTTCATATCATAAGCTCATTATAACTGAGCCATAAAGTGATTATGGGCTCCACTAAGGCATTGTTCTGCTGTTGACAGGAGTAGAGATAACTTTAGAGAGAGAGGGGGGAGAATAGAGTGTGCGTTGCCATTCCTTGCTTGAGGGTTTGCTTGCTTTGTTATAACCCAGGAGTGAAAGAGGCTGCGTGCTTGACTGTTTGCCAGCTGTGGCACACCCTGCCTCTGTTCCTTTACACATTAATCTGCACGTCTGTCTATCCATCCATATACCTGTCATCTTTGTTTTTGTTCAAAGGCAGCGTGAAATGTTGTTTTTCTGTAGACTTGTCATCACCCGGTGTGCAATTGTTTCAAGGGTTTTAAAGAAATCTACAAGACACAAAAAGAAGATAATCTCTCTTGTCACGGTGGCATTGATTAGTGCCTGCATCACTGGGTGCACGTGCAGAATTCTTGTGGAAAGTAAAATGGGCTTTTTAAAAAAACAATAAAAGCAAGGCTCCATGCAAAACGTGCTGAAATGTAATAATTTTGCTTCTTTTATTAGTGATTCATCAAAAGTTGATTACAGGTGTTTCTATATGTATGCAGTGACCGCTCCACTGTATGTATCATCTGGATGTGTCTGTTCACCCATGTGCACTTACTCATTTGTTAACATCCAGATGTTTAATCAGCTCTCTTCCTCCCGCAGAAGACCGGAGTTGTGATGACACAGGAGAAGAAGGAGCGGTGGAAAGAGAAAAAGATGGCGAAGCGGCAGAAGAAGGAAGACGAGGAGGTGGAAGAAGGAGAGGAGAATGTCCATTCAGTGGTGGATCCCCTGGAGAACGGCTTCCTCCATCACGCCCAGAGGGAGCAGGAGAGGATGAACGAGAGGCTGCTGAAGAAGACTTACTCCAAGAAGAACAAAATGGTCAGTGTTTCAAACCTCATATGTATATTACATAGTCTGTTGTTTTATGTTTATGTGTCTTTTGGTAATTGAAAGAGATGTCTACTATGCTGGCCTTTTGCAACGCAATGCAGAGGGACCTGCCAGCTTCTTAGGCAACATCTGAATCCAATCCAGTGTTGTGATTAGTCAACACTATTATTTCCACAACTCTTATTTAAGTAAAAAGCAGGGTAGCCCTTTCTCTACTTCCCCAGCTATCTGACAGCTGCCCCACATTCATTTTAAAGCAGAAAAACACCTTTGGGGAATTTTCAGAAAGAAGTTGAGCAGTGTGAAAAGTGCCTTACACTCCTGTCAGGTGTGACTTTACTGCTTGTGCCAGCAGGGATTTTGTACCACAGTGCTGAGGTTGTCAAGACATCATGTCACATGAGACATATCCCCTTTGTTAGTGCGTGATCAAACCACAACTCAGTGTTCAGCACTGGAAAAAATAATGTTCTTCAGATCCATCTGCTGAAGGCAGTCATGTGGAGTTTGACTCAGTTTAGAGCTGTGTGAATTGCTCCATCAAGTTGAAAATGGTCTATATCATTATGTATTTAACATTTACGGTACATTGATTTCTTGAAATACAGTAGACGCGGGTCCCATTGGTCTTTATGTACAGTAAGTTAGTTGATTATTTCTTTTTCTTTATTCATTTTCAGAGAGGATGTTTTACTTCCTAGGCATTTAAAGTGCTCAGGTGTTTTCCCCATGATGCTGCTGACTGCTTCTGTGGAAGCACCAGCCATGAACTGTGATCATGCTATCACTTTTTAATGCTATATGGATGGCTACTACCTGTCTTTTTGCAAATGTAGCTTATTTGCTTGGTGGTGGTAGCTATGTGTTTGTAGAGTTTTTTAAAGCAAAATCATGTTTGAATGGAGTTCAGCAATACAATTAGCACAGCACTGACGACATACCAGATGATACAGAGCTGAGCACAGCTTGGCTAATACCAGGACTGTACTCAAGGTGCATTTTGGGAGCTTTGTCCTTGCTTGGAATTGTAGAGTTCTGTGCATTCCCCTTGAAGAAACAAATGATATGCTGGAACTTTATCATGTTTGAAGTTAAATAGCATTTAGACCTCGTTTAGACTTGTCCACACTGATGAGCGCTGTTGTTGGTGTGCTGCTTTCAGGTGGGTTCACCCTGTCGTGCTGTCCTTTTTCCCTTCATGACTGCAGAAGTGGCTTTTTGTTTGTTTATGCACATCGAGGGCTGCCAATTTCCCCAGCTTTAAACACAGTGCTGAGCCCACAGACTCTGAGTCTGTCCCAGTGAGATAGCCCATCTATGTGTTAACAGTTTGTTTAAATGGGCGGATGTTTTTATGCTCTTGTCTGAGGCCAAGATCCACCATAGTGCTGTTGAGGACAAGAGGGGAAATGTAGTCAGGAAGCCAAACTAAATAATGAGGCTTTGTAGCCCGGAGGCCTCCTCCACAGACAAAAATATCTCTTTTAGATAAGGTTTCCTGAGGAAGTTAACATGGCTGAAAATGAGTTTGGCTGTGATATTTAGTTTGCTAAGAATCTATTGGAAATTATGTATTTAGTTGATGCTCTTATCCACAATGTAACTGCAATAGGATGCAATTAGTGAACCAGACATGCATTCAAGTTCAGCTGAAAGTCCAAAGTATCGGCAAGCTGTCATATGAAAACCTATTAATTTCATCTATGCTGAATTTTAGATTTTACAGTATCTTAAGATTCACTGCACATGTTGTCTAGTAGATTAAAATAGTAGGAAGATTATACTGTAAAAGCAGCTCAAAGCACAGCAGAAAAGTGTTATGAGATTATAATTTATATTTTTCTACCCTACTCAGTAGCAAGATATTTATTTGTCCCTGAAGTGCATAGGCAGAGAATCAGAAAGTCTTGATTCTGTGCCTCAAGATAAGCTGTATTTTTTTTTCTGAAGTCATATTCCTACATATTGAATAAGTAAGCTGCATCTTACATTTGTTTATTTGTCATGGTTTTGTGCACCTTTGGTGCAGTTTCAACAATGTTTAGAAGGCACATTTACAGATACACTTACCTTCACAGTGTGCTGTATTTTACTGCTGCCAGCCAAACAACAAATCAGTTAGTATTTTGTCACTGATGAACGTGTTTATGGAAGTGCAGTGAGGCGGTGTTTCTACATTCCACCATACACCGCACCAGTCATGATATGCATGCATTGTTAAAGACTGCTAAAAACTGATCTGTAGATAAATGGTCCCAGTTGGACTGATCTATAAAGTACTGGTGGCTTCCTACACACTGGTGGTTTGTTGTTGCTTAACTTCCTTTTTTCTCATAACAGTTGCTTGCTTTAATGTCAGCGTCTGGCAGAAGCACAGTTCGACTGTTTCACTGTCACAGCTCAAGCAGCTAAAATATCTTTCGACCTTTGTATTACAGCATTCCTTTAATACATAACCACAACTCCTAATTGCTAGCTACATTACCAGTTTTTTGAGAACTAACAATTATGTAGTGGAAAAGCAACACCCAGTTCCAGTCATAATCATAGTGCAGAGGAATGAGGCTCATCCTATTGCACAACGAATTAATTATAGATAACAATCAATTATAAAGCAGTTGACCCACACCTATGCACATTTACAAAGATGAATGCGCTTCAGTTATGAGTACAGTTGCAATGTGAGAAGGCTTGTTTCTAAAGACACCTCAGGCAGCTTTTTATCCCACACTGCTTTTATAATATGATTTATAAATAGTTCCCAAAGAGGAATTTGCATGTGTGGCAAGCAGAGGTAGATTACAACATGACTAAATGTCTGTGTACCAACCTGCCTCGTGCAACTCTTTTTTGGGAGCTTATGAACAACTTTTTGTTTTCATGTATCCCCACAAATACAGACACATTCCCTCGATTGTGTTGTGGAGAAGGAGGTGTTGATAGATTTACTGCTGGTGAGTCAGTGACCACTGCAGTTTATAAATGACCTCTTTTAGTGCATCTGTCCTCTGTCCTGTACATTTCAGGGAATTGCTACCCTGTTTTCCAGCTCAACTTACAATGATTACAGCTGTAAAGGTTGAAGTTGAAAGCTTCATTTGATTTTTGTGACTCTTGAGTGACAACATGAGAGCAGTTGCTTTGAGTGCAAGAGCTAAGGAGAGAGCAATAGAGATTTCTGTTCTTCCTTTAACCTCAGCCCTTCTCTGATAGGGGGAATCCCTTGCATATAAAACATATTTGCTTGCATATGTACTGTGCTTTGTTGAGGAGCCACAGGAAATGTCCTTGGCAAGAATGCCAGTGGATTTTATCAGAGACATGTTTAGTATTCACAGTTCCTTTTGCTAACAATACTATGTACACATCTACTTTTGCATGTATCCATCAGGCCATACTGTACTTTAGATCTTTTCATGCAACGTAAGGCTGTGATTTTCCCCACAATCTGATATGAAATGAATGTGAAAAGCTTATTTACAGCTTTGAAAAGTGTTTCAGGGAGTCACATAAAGTGTGATGAATAATTATTTGCACATTGTGACATGATAGAATACACTGATAGCTAAGTATACATTTAGGATGCTCTCTATCACAATTAGCAGCACAAGTGCATTTGGATTGTGTGCTACTTTTTTCCTTCAGGCTGCTCCGTACTCCAGGCACCCAGCTTAGCTTTCACTATCCATGTCTTTGTATTCGGCTGCAGTCAGTGAAGGTGTCCCTAGTGTATGTCACACACCATGATCTGCGAGCAAGGTGAGGTGTTGGTCTCCTTGAGCCACCCTTGGGTGCCAGAAGCTTGCCGGAGGACAGAAGGCAGGAGCTCAAGTGCATCAAGGTGCCTTGACACACACTGAGCAAAACGATAGCAAAAGAAGATCATTAGGGAATTATCTCACTCTTGTCAATAACATAGTAGGTAATTGCTATCTATTATTTCTCTTAATGCTAATATCCATTAACAGATTCCCCAGTCTAACTTGCATAGTTATTTTTAACTGTTATTCTCTGCTGTATATAAGATCAGCTCTCAGGTTGCCCAGCAGCATGGTTTTGACCTTCAGTATACCTCAAATGGGGGTCATGAATAACACATAATGCTGACTCGCTCAAGCAGCTCCCTGATATCCACACATGCACATCACCTCCCCTGTCCATTACTGCAGTGCTTTACCCTGTCCTGCACATACACACACCACTAACGATGTCATATAAGAAAACATCTCTGGACACTTGACTCTGTTATTCCAACCCCCCTCCCTCAGGCAGACCCTTCACTATCAGGTCAACATGTGGACATGAAGCCAGCATCCTGTCATACGGCTGCTGATTCAGGATTACCCCCCTCAGCTTCATACCTAGGTGTGTTTATAGGTGGTAAGCCAAGACTGATCAGATTAGCTGGGGCATCAACAGTTCACCGGAGGATAGTCTAAGTGCAGCCTGAGACTGTGACAGACGCAATAGCATCAGCAGTGTGGCGGCAGAAACGGGTGAGCTGATAATGATGGGCTGGTTGTTAACTGGGGAGCAGCGGCCCTGAGCAGTAGCAGCTTGGCTCAGGAGATGCCCTTTAGACAACACTGTATCCCCTGGCTAACCCTGCTGCCAGCCCATTTAAACTGGGGTTCAAGGTAAATCGTCTCCACCTCAGTCATGCTGCTCAGGTTACTAAGCTGCAGTTTATTGTTGACTTATTTGACCAACTTATTGTTGTTTGGACACAGATCCCTAGAAACAGCAGTTGGCAGGTTTCACTGAATATATTGGTTCAATTTAACATCAGTATCACTGTAATTAAACTGTTTATGTAGCAAGCAGGGCACAAGATTTTGCATTTAACTGAAAACTGTTTTGCACATGACCTTTTCAGTCTGCCTCATAAAGAAACATTTGTTCTTATTCTCCTGAGGCCGCAACCTTTTGCTCAATTTACTGTTACCTGCTTTTAATGTTATGGTTGATTGCGGAACGGAAACACTGTC